CGAGGAACCTGGTGGGAATTTGGTCGCACGCTATTCCCAACTACCCCGTGGGTCATACACAAAATATACGCCGCGTCAGGCGGGCCATCGAAGAGGCCATAAAGGCTCGTGGTTGCGGTGGACGCCGCGCCCTGCACCTTGTGGGTTCCTCTTTTGACGGTGTTGGTGTGGGTGACTGCGTGACAAGTTCTGTCAGGGCTGTCCTCAACGTATCCCAGACAACGCCCTCTGAAGAGGCAGCTTCTTTGTGAACGAACCTGCCCGCCCCCTAGTTTTGTTTATTGTGCTTTAACATGATTTTTGTATTGAGATTATTTTGTGATTTCTAGCTTTCCGCGCATTCGTCGTTTGAAGTCTAGCCTGTTCTAAATGCTCTATTTCAAAATAACACCTGATAAGTTGACACCCTAAGTCGTTTTTCTAAGTAGAAACCTTGTGGGCGTAAACACCGAGCGAGAAAGATTACTTCCATGTGCCTAAATTCATCATCCGGAAATAACGGCTGTACAATGATGGCTGATTCGTTTACCTGCCTCCCTCATCATCTACTTTGAAGTCCCAAAAATGCAGTTGCAGATACCACTGGACGTTTAAGCTGTCAGACATCAGCGATTTAGTTTATAATTACCGGAGTACAAGGTGCGTACCAAAATTTTCGTATACAGAGCAAGGAGGGCGGCATTTACGGAGTAATCCAGGATGAGAATGTGCAGCCTGCTTATGATAACTCGTGACTTATTGGGGATGCATGCAAGATGTCGGCCAACACTAGGTAGACCGCAGAGACAATTTGCTACACCGCTTGGTCCCAGAGGGAAAATACCATGAAAGAAAACCCAGGATTTGGTGCAAAGGTCTCGCCTTAAAGCATAACACGGAGATTAGTTGCATGAGGGTCGCATAGGATAGTTTCCTCCTTCAACTTTATTCGGGCAACCGGTGATAAGTAGACGGCGTTGTGGCGAATTGCAGTAGACAGAAAATACAATGATTAGCCTATAGACTTTCAAAATCTCAGGACGCACTAGCAGGCGTGTTCCCGAGGAGTGGTAGCTGATAGCTACTCCCGCTTGTCCTCCGAGCTGGTATTCTAGCTGCTGCTGCATATAGCCTTTGTTGCAAACGTTTGTATAGGGTTTGAGAATCCTAAGCGGAGAACTCACTCTTTGCCAGCTGATGTACCTGCCTGCATCTTCAGCTGCTTAGACTCAATCATACCACTGGGATGACAGTACCTAATGTAAGTACTATAAACTATCGCTGCGCATTCCTGGGACAGAGTGAACGGTTATTTCCATCAGGACCGTGCCTTATGAATAAACACTAGAGTCCGCGCACTGTTTATTCACCCGGCGCCACCCAAGTTCGCTTAAATGATTCGCGCACCACCGAATTTATTAATCGCAGTACTTCCAATCACCTGTGACTTTCGCCAGGGGCACATCGTGCGGTGTCTTAGCTTATAAATAACCCCTTCATGAACAATTAAACGCGCAGGGATTTGAACAATACTTACAAGGGCATATGCTTTTATTGAGTCATTTTGAAAATTACCGACTTTCTGTCCTACATTGGACATAACCTGCAAATCTGAGATGGGAACCTTGTCCGATGTACCTGCTTCTGGAATTCGTAGCCCTAAAGCTCGATAAGACGATAAAGGTAGACAACAAAGGCAATGGAAAAAGCGGGAGAATGTGGTGAAGTAGTTTTCAAAGAACATAAAGGTGAATATGCTCGGAGGTATTACACGAGAGTAAACTCCGAACAGAACTTACTAAAGTCCTTAAGCAAGAAAGAATTTTAAAAATGCTCAATATTGACGATACAACACGTTCAACCAATTTTTGGTTACCAGTGTGTCCTCTCGAGAATTCCTTGTCGGCAGTCAGAAATGCACAAGACTTATGAAGGTACTAAAAGTAATAATATAATGACTTTTCGTGTACTTCCAGTGAGCTGAGGTCGGGCAAGCCGAAAGCCTATAAAATGTCGTAAAGGTTGACAATAGCACTGTGACATGGCTTGCCACCACTGCCTTGTTGTTAGGCGCTAGAGGAGACAACCTCGACCAAAAAATCAAATCGGCTCTCGGTGATCCGCTCGTACTTAATCCCCAAGATACGTCATAGAAAACTTTTTTCAATAACTGCACTATAATTAATGCCACGGTGTCCGCGGGAACCAAGGTGCTCCGCAACACTGGTCTAATGGTGCGAGAAAATAGTAGGCGAGCTGGATTACTCAATCTGATTCGGACACTTGGTATTGGATAATAGAATATGCAGACGTTCCTGGCCCCTGGTACCCAAAGCCTGACCCAGCCTTTCTCAGTGAAGTGTAGGTGTCTGCTGTTTGTCCGAAGTTCAAATTCCCGACTCAGGCACTCAGGAAATAAAGGTCCCCAGAGCTAACTCATACTTCATACCACAATGAATCACGTGACTACTGCGATAGACATGGTACGGCAATTGCTTTCTCACCACTTTCAGGAAACGAATCAATGAGCGGATGGCCTACGTGCACCTGAATAGTCAACTCAAAAACATCTGTCTTTGCCGTGTACATACAAACCTCCGCTGCCGATCAGCAAGATAAGGAGATGTTTTACTCGCAGCTACAGGCATT